AATTAATTAATTTACAAAAAATATTATCTGAAAAATATATAAAAAATAATGAATTTAATATCGTTTTTATTTAATTATCAAATCGAATTAATTATTATAAAAATCTAAAAAATCTCTAAAAAAAAAAATAATGCAAAATATATCAAAATGAAATGAATAGAAATAGCCTAATTAAAGCCTACAATAATGGTTAGTGTTAGCAATTATCAGTTCTAAAGAAATTTACAATTATAAGATTGAATAATAAAAGAACCCTGAGGATAGAACTTCTTGTTACGATAATCAAATCAAATCACTCTAATACTGCTTGGATTCATCGAAAAACAAACAAGTACCATGCGGTACTTATTTAGCCAAGGCAAATATATAGAAGTTACAAACTAAAACCATATTCACTAATAACAAATAACTAATATTAGCCATAGAACAATAGAAACAATAGAAACTAATAGATAATATGCCTTTGTGAAGAATGCGGAAGAGGGAAGCGCAATTTAGTAGAATAAGGAACTGCGGAATGGAATAACTGGAATAGGCAACCAATTCACTTAACTATTTACGCGTTCATCGCTTTTATAACGATGAAAATACTAAAAAAAAAATGGAAAAAAAAACAGATCACATGGTTCAATGACAACAAAATGGAAAAACAGTTAATTCACATGGTTCAATATCGATAAAATGTCAAAGGTCAACGATGATTAAAAGAAAAAACCCTATAATTTATAATTTATAATTTAACACAGCTGTTAAGTGAAGACGGAAAAAAATTTTAATGAATCAATGATAGCAAAATTGTAAAAAAAAAAAAAAAATCCATAAATTTTGCAAAAATTTTCCAAACCTCAAAATTCGATTTCTTTTAATTTCTAATTATTAATAATATAATAATATAAATTATTTTTTTATAATTTAATAAAATATAATCAAAATTAAATAATTTTTTACAATTTTCATAATTTCGACTTTTGATATCTTTTGATATTTTGATTTTTGAAAAACGAGAAAATAAAAGAATCAAACAGAAAAAAAGAAAAATACATTTATTTATTGTTCATTTCATTTCGAACTAACTATCGTAAATATATATAACACAAAAAAATTTATGTGAAAAAACTTGCTTCCTTATCAAAAAACAACTAATGATAACATAGTGATAACAATAATGATAATGACGATGATCAGCTGTTAGATTTTAGGATTTTATTTACACATTTAAGAAAAAAAAAACAATATTCTTTGGATTTCGAAAAAATTCGAATGAAATCTCTTTTTCATTTTTTTTAAAAATGATAAAAATGATAAAAATGAGAAATTTTTTGTTAATAAAAAAAATGAGCTTACATACACGCACATGAAAATGCTTCGCATATTCATATTAAAAAATATTATCAAATATTAATAATAATATCAAATATTAATAAATATTATAAAAAATTTTATTAGAAAAAATTATTAAATTTCTTAAAATTACAAAATTACAAACAAAATTCATCCTCGCTCGACAAATATTCTAAAAAAAAAAATTTTCCGAAAATTTCTAACATTTTCCAAACGAAAAAGAAAAAAAATCACCAAAATCAACGACACAATGATCTTTTATAATTATCAAAAAAAAAATTTTTTTTAAAAAAATGCACAAAGGAAAAATTTCGTGAAATTCGATGAAAAAACCAAAAAATAAAATTTGAATAAACATTTTGAAATAATAGAAAATTCACAAATATATTTAATATTATGCAAAAATATACTCAATTTAAAAAAATTTTAGCAAAATATTTTCAAACAATATTTTCGAAATTTAATTTTTGAAATTTCTTTACGCCATAAATATTCTTTAATTACACTAATTTTTCAAACAATTATTATACATTATACTTATTACACTTATTATATTTTTAAAAATATAATTACATTAACTGATAATCGATTAATAATTAAATTCATAGTAACTATATTCGAAAAAAATTGTTAAAAAGAAAAAGGAAAAACAAAACCAACTAATCCAAAACTCTCTTTTCGAATAGATTTTTTCACTGATAAGCCAATTATCAGACTATTATCAGACTAAAGACATTCACTATTTCACAAATATTCTTATATTCAATTTTAAATATTCAAATTTTCTTCCTGTCACTTGACCTGGTGATTAGAAAGTCAAAAGAATCTGTTCTATCCATGTTATTACTGTCCTTATCATATAAAGTGGAAATCGCAAAAGTAATATCGACTTGCATTGAATAATTTTTAATTTTAAATCCAACAATAACAATAATCATAAGTCGGAATTTTATAAACAATAAATATTTATGGAATTTCACGTTGAAATGGCAAAGCATTCAAGAAAATAGTTCCAACAAAAAATATGCAATTATTTAAATTTCTTTTAAAAAAATTTATTAATTTCGGAAAAAAATAAACTTTAAAAAAAACATGAAGCGATTCAACAAGAAAAGTTAAATGAAACGAATGAATGAGTACGACAAGAAAAATGAAAAACTTTGTCAATTGATAATTTCGAGATAATTCGCCATTGATTGATTGCAGTGACAATTTAACAACGAAAAAACTAATATAAAATATATTTCCCTTATCATCTTTCAAATATTTTTTTGAACAAAAAATACTGAATTCTCATGGAGTGTATAAGAAGTTGAACCTGAAATAGATTTCTTAAATATGAATAGTATATTATAATAGGAAATCCAATAAACATCCTCAATGTTTACGAAAAATGCAGCCAAAAATTTTCAAACTTCTTGTTCGAAAAACAGAAAAACAGGATATGTGTAAAGATTCTACTACAGAACCTGCTCAGTGTTTGCGGTAAACTTGCAATCAGTGGTCCGTATCCAGTTGCATTATCATACAATTCAAACAAAGGCGCTGCAACCAGCTTGTAATTCTTCGGTACAGCAAACAAAGCACGTTCTGGAAGTTGGACAAGGAACAGCTTGGTCTGTTCCTTAGGTTTCGTCACGTGTGCCGGTATGTAGGGGTACTAAAAATGGAACATATGGAAAACAAATTATATCAAAAATAAAATATCCATGGTTAATTCAATGTTATCAGGAAAAAATTTATTTTATAATGTAATATATTTTATAATTTATTTTATAATTTTATAATGATTACTCTAGGAGGATCGAAATTTGGCCGCCACCAGTTACCAATCGCATCTTCAATAGTCCACAAATCTTTATTACCGCCATCTTGCCTTCCAAGAGTCTGGAAGTTCTTAAATGATAGTTCTGAATGAAGAATATTACCATTATTGCTTAATGTAAGAAATACTGAAAAGTTGAATAATGCTAAAGTATTAGCGACAAAAAAACCGGGTATAATAACACACCGGATAAGGAAATAAGAAAGAAAAGTAAATAAAACGCACTTCAGTAAGTAATCGCTTCAACCCATCAACTTCATCTTCACCAGGATTTAATTCACCACCAGGTCTAAAACAACATTAAAATCAAATCCAGCATCTAATTCAAACTGCAGTAGTAAAAGAAAAAAATAAAAAAATCATTTACAATTTGAAGAAAGTCGATCCAATTTGTAGAAGAAGAACATGAGGAAGAGAATGTTCATGGACAAGAAGCACGCCTTCAACGGAACGTCTCATGCCAATTTTTTCATATTCCTCACGCATACGTTGAAAACGTGCTTGAACAGAATGATCACGTTCAGCTTGAGCTTCTTTTGTGCCGAAAGTATAATTTGTTAAAGGATACCTGAAAAAAAAATATTCAAAGAATTTTATAATATCGGTAATAAAAAAAGAAATGCTAAGTAATAGCAAAATAAATAAAATAAATGTAATTAATAAATAATGTGATATATAATAATAATTAATAAATAATGTGTATAATTAATAAATAATGATAATTAATAAATTAATAAATAATAATGTAATAATTAATAAATAATGTGATATATGAAATAATTTCTAACTTAATCAAGATCATATCAGAATAATATTATCTTATAGATATTTGCGAATATTTACAAGCAATTATTTGCCATACAAATCATACAGATTTGGTGAAAAATATTGGAATAAAAGAAATATTTAAGGAAACCATGATAAGGAAACCATATTTATTGAAAACCAGCCAAGCAGGGCATAAATGCCATGTGCTTATATTAATAACAACAGATTGAAACAACAAATAGTAAGAATTAATGAAAAAAACGAAAAAATAATAATAAAATAAAATTAACAATTTAAAAATGAAAGAAAGAGGAAATTACAAAATAATATAATATAGTACAATTCGAAATAACTATAATCGGATGGTAAAAATCGAGATTTCACTTAAATAATATCATAAATGATACTATCTATTCTTTTTTTAAAGAGACATAAGGGGATGGCGCATAAGCTATGTCGTTCGGTAGTTTATTCCAGAAATTAATATTACGAATCAAGAGTCCTTAATTTAGTTTTAGTAATTTTAGCCCATTAGTTCTTGTTGGATTTAAATTTAACCTAAAATTATAACATTTTGAACAATCTAGTTTAATAACCATACAAAATCTTATAATTATAAATTAAATCTTGTTTAATACGACGAACTAACAGAGAATCCAGGTTACATTGCAGAAGTTTTTTTTAAATTAAAATTGCAATTAGGAGAGAGGCGCCGTATAAAATATTTTTGGAGTCCTTCAATTATTTTACTTGATTTACGATATCTCTGGGAGTAACATGTAGCATTGTAGCCAAGAAATGGTCGAACGGACGCTTTGTACATTTTAATAAGGAAATCTACAGTTTTATTTTTGAACGAACGAATAATAAAATTTAATATTTTTGAGGATTTCTTTACTATGGTTCTGCAGTGAAGGTCGAAATCGAGATTTTCATCCACGATTATACAAAAATCGGAAATATGCGAGACTCTACTGATTATATTGCCATTAATAATAAGATTAGGAAAATTGGAACCTTTAGAATTGATATAAAGAACGCTACATTTTTGAAAGGAAAGGGTAATTTGCCTTGATAACAAGTTATGAACCAAGACTATATCAATTATCACTTATCAGTTATCAATAAAAATAATTGTCAATTAATGCATCATTGCATGAATAAAAATTATCAGATGAGGAAGAAATGCGTAATTTTATGATATTTAATTTTGCTAATTCTTTCAATGAAAACATTTTTGTTCATTTTCGCCTTATTAAAACTGATTTCTCCGATTTCATATTATTTTGGAGTTTTATATTCATAAAAAAAATCCCGTAAGAAACCTTTTATTGAAATCTGCAATATGAAATTTTAAATAAAACTCACAAATTAACAGCTCGATCAATACTACTGTTGGTAGTTTCTTGCGTTTTTCGCGTGGACATTGTTGTTGGATTAACTTTTTGAGGCTTCGCAGTTACTGGCCAACCTGTTCGAGATATTCCAGTCATTATATAACCCGGTGAAAGTTTTCTAGGAAATAACGATCGCCGAAGATAAAATTTATTCAACCTGATAAAAAAAAAACCTGATAAAAAAAAAAGACGATTATTTCTTAGAAGATCAAGGCAATCGAAATTCAAACAAATTGAACGGAAGAGTAAAATGTTTTAATGGATTACTGCTTTCATTCCTAAAAGGCGATGCTGGAGTTCCACTCCAGGAAATAAAAGTATTTTCAGAAATGCAGCTAGTGACTCACTTATAGTTCTATCTGACCCTCCGGCAAAATTTGCCCAGGCAGAAAAAGCAGTGGAGCAACCGCAACCAGAAATGGTGAGCCCTTTTAGAAAAAAATCGAGAATTCTAATAAATTGATTTGCCTCAAAAAATTTGATCTAGTCCGACCCGACTCGAACCAATTTGTCTCTATCCTATCCTATTTTATCCGAATTGCATTTCAGCCTTATCAGACTTCTTTCTAATCTTTCCATTGTTTTTCATAAAATTTCTTTTCCACCTCTGATTAAATATAACCAATTGATTAGAGATGGTGACCAACCGCCACCCATTCCAAATGTAACCCACGACCCCAACACAACCCACAACCCAAAATAATCAGACAAACAAATCCACCTCCTCAAGCACACCCGATCTGCTCAATTTTAGCGTGAAAATTATGCCAAATAAATGTGGCCCCGCCCCGAGTATCCAGAAACGCGGCCGCTGCTATTTTTTCCGAAAATGATTGAAACAAATAACTGTAAAAATTTATTCTTGAAATTAATTGAAAAAGATTAAGTCATTAATTTATTCATTCGTTCACAATGAAATAGATTCAACATAAACAAACAAATATTTTTTCTTTTAAATATTAATTTAGTATCACAAAAATCTGCATAAATTTCCATCTATCTATTCATCATATATCATTTAGCTGAATTCAATAATAATAAAAATACAACAAATATAATAGAAAATTTAAAAATTTCAAAAAATAAATTTTTTTAAAAAAATGTAAAAGACTAGCTAATATATATTTTACTTTGGTTATAGCATTATTCTAGAAATATTCTAGAAATGAGCAAAGACTATTTTAATGAAACGTATAAAAAATTTTAGTAAAATAGACCTACAATTGTATTTAAAGACAATCTGAAAGACCAAATTAAGAAATAATTAACAATATCAATTAGTAGGGCAAATTATTAATGAAAATTTCAAGCATAAATTTCTATTCATTTTATAAATATGTTTAAAAATTCACAAATATAAAAAAAGATAAAAAATAAAAATGAAATGAAAAATCATCATTAAGTTAACATATAATTAAGTATCTTAAGGCATTGCGTAGAAAATCAGAAAAATATTCAAAAAATCTAATTTTATAATTTGAATTTTAACAATTTTTACAATTTTAAAATAATTTGTAATAATTATAAAAACTGAAAATAAGAAGAATGAAAAGCCAAGTAATAATAAGCCATGTTGATCCATGATCCATACTGATTTCCTTTTTTTTAGTAAAGGGGATTCTATAAATATTTCCAAAATCTGAAAAAAAAACAATGTGGGCTACAAAAAAATATAAAATTTCTTTCACAAATCATCGCACAATAGTTCATATTATAATAATAAAAGATTCCTTAAGTGCTCCTAAGGAGAAATTAATAAAAAAAAATAAATGCAACAAAATTCACCAATAAATTGAAAAACGAGATGAATCTATATTCGATTATTCTAATTCTAATTTATCTTTGTAATTAATATTTTAATATCAATTTATTTTTTATTTTATTTTTATTTATTAATTCTATTATTATCCCAAAAAATGTTCCGCTAATTAAAAAAGCAATTAAAGAAAAATCCAGTACAATTACAAGAAATAAACTTGCGAATAATCCAAAATACTTGTCGAAGAATTTTTAAGCGGTCATATATTCATTCAATCTTAAATTTTGTATATTTTAAAAATAAAAATCTCGATTTTAAAAGAAGAAACTATACTAAATTTTTAATAAAATCAAAAAAAACCACCTTAATCTACTTTAAATAAAAGGCAAATAAAAATAAAAGAAATATAATGAATACTAATGGAAAAAATGAAAACGAAAAAAAAACAATAATTTTAATTAATTTAATTCAATTTAGCATACTTTTCCGAGAAATCATTAAGAGACGCGTTTAAAGAAATAACATTGGCATTAATAAATTCATTGACAGTATCATCACAAAAATATTTCTTCAAAGCTTGACGAAGCTGCAAAAAAGAAATTATTCACAAAATAATAAACATAAATTATTATAGAATCTATTTAGAAAAGAAAGAAATTTGTAAATGAGATAAGAAAGTGGGCTCAATTTTTAAAAAACAATGCGAAAAAAATTATTCTAAACTTAATTTAACTTAACTTCCATTCTTCACTTCAGTCTCCACTTTCACTTTTTACCGACATATTTTTTCATTATTTTCGGTTACTTGTCAGTAATCGCCCTCTTTACTTTCTATATAAGGATGAGACTATAGAAAAAAGATAGAGAAAAAAGAAAAAAAGAAAAATCAAGAAAAACAAAATCACTTAATCGCAATAACCACAGCGTTAAAACTAATTAAACTTAAACTTACTTTAACTTCAATGTCCACAATTTCAGCACCGATTTGTAACACATCGAATTGAGAAGAAATACGCTTGCTTTTCCAGTGAAGAAATCGAAGATTTTCAACCTATATTATATATCCATAATCAAAAAATGTAGTAAAAGAAATTTTTTTCATTCTTAATAAAAAACTTTAGTTTTAATTGAAGGCCAACATATATAAGAAAAACAAAAAATGCACAAACCAGTTCATATATCTCATGTCCTGCAAAGTTACAATGCATGAACAAAGCTTCCAATGTAGGATAATATGACCCACTTTCTAAATGAATCGGTAATTGTTCAGAAGCGATCGAACAACCAAGAATGCCCTTCAATTAGAAAAAATGAACTGAACATTAAAATTTTTTTGCTGAATTCTTTCGATTCTTTTTAAAAGCAATCAAAAAAAGCTCACTCGAGCAATATGTACCAACTGTAGGAGATTAAGAGATGTATTATTCAAGTAGAGTAAATCGATAACCATTGAAGGAATAGAACTAGGATGCAACTCACAAAGTGGAGCGAAATGATTATACCTCTGCCATCCGGTTAAAACAATACCTCCTACACGCCCTAATAATTCCTGAAAAAATTTCTTTTTAATTTTTTGAAAAACCTAAATACCAAATTTAATCAAAAAGTACAATAATGAGAAAAATTATAATGAAAAAAATAAAGCTGCCAAGAAAAAAATTTAGATATTAAAATTATTATTAAAATTATTTAAAAATTTAAGTATTAAAGAAACATACTGTTGAATTTAAATAATATAAATTCACATAAGAAATTTGATTCAAAAAATATCGGTTAATATCAACAAATACATTAGCCTGCCCATTCGCACCTTTATAAGCGCTAGCAAATAATAATTTATCGAAAACCTAAAAATCAAATTGAATATAAATTTAATTGTTATCTTCATTTAAAAATTCATTGCTATTTGCCATATAAAAAATGTCGCAAAAAAATTTCTAAGATATTCTCAAAAACCTAAATTGAATTTACGTTTTTGCCACATTATTTTCCATAATAATCGTTTTTCTCTATAAAAAAAATACATATACATAAAAGTCGAAACAGAATAGAAAAATAAAAACCTCTGAATAGCGTTGGAGCATTCCAGTAGGAAAATATTCAGGTTTAGTGACATCAACAGCATAACCCCATACAACAGGAATAAGCAATTTGCCGAATTCGTATTTTTTCAAAGAATAGGTGCTTGAACGTTCAAACATATCATTCCAAGCAAAGACATTTTCAAATTTTAGCACATCTCGCGAGTAACGCGCAGTTCTAAACTATTATATTAGTAAAAGATAAAATTCCATGAAATCTAAATTGCTTTCCCAAATTCCTCTATGAGCCACCAAGGATACCCGCAGAAATCAAATTTCATTTTTTTCATAGAGGAGAACTAAGTGGAATTAATTTAATTTAAAATTTTAATGAATTTTTAAACACAAAAAACCTGCTATAATTTTGAATTGTTTCCTTAATGGTTCAAAAATAAACACATCTTACCTACTGATATGCGACAGTTTTAAATCATCCATTGTGAAATTTGAATCTTTTAAAAATCGTTCAATGCATCGCTCATCAGTACCAACCTGCCATGCCTCATCAGCTCCTATGTGGATACGTTTCGATTTTGGATGAAGACTGCGAACCTAAATTTAAGAAATTTATATTTTTATACGCCTACTAATAATTTCCTCAATGATTTATATAGTAGGAAGTATTGCATGTAATGAAATGATTTCTATTAAAGCACTATGCTAAGTTATATATATTTCTAAAGATTTATAGGGGCATGTGGAAACTAACTTGTCCAAGCATTTCAGTGATCACGTTCCAAGATTCATCCGCTGATGGGCATATCGTACTTGCAGTTTCACCTTTCTCACGTAAATGTGAAAATTTGGAATGTTTCAGCACGAATTCTAAATGACCCATAGTTTGCACGAGTGGTATTATTTCTAGCTGATTGTTCTCCGCTATCTAAAAAATTAAGAAAATTTCAATTCAAATTGCGAAAACATCTGGATAAAACAAATATAAAAATGAACTTTAGCTGAGCAAAACTTAAAAATTTAAAAATTTTAACTAAAATAAAATTAAATAATCCGTGAACTAAATCTCTATCTCAACAATATTTCAACAATTGCACTAACTAATAACAATTTAAAAAAAAAATTTATCTATTAACAAATAGCTACCTAATAACAGAAAATTGAAAACCTGACATCTAATATCAAATTTCCTTTCCAGTATAATAACACACAATTACTTATAATTACCTATGCATAAAATTAATTATTCGTGAAATAAGCTTGTATAGAATACAATTGTTACAAAATGTATGAAAGATACGAAAAAATACCAAGCACTCTTATCAATTTAAGGACAATTCTATTAGAATAAAATAGAATAAAAAATAATATAATAATAATATATAAAATAAAATAATTATTAGGAAAATTTCAGAGAATTCTAAGTAAATAAAAATAAAAATAGTGAAAAACCACTTACCACTTGTATCATCGCAATTTCTTTCTCTGTATAGCTATTTTGTTTTGTGATAATCTTCAAAAATCCTTTATATGGGAACATATCTTCATATTCCATTAAAACGGCTTGTACGTTTAATTTTCTAAGCAGTGGAAAGATCTTTGCATAGTATTCAATTTTTGGTGGAGCTCCTTTTAAATCAAAATGAACAATTTTCTAAAAATTATGAAAATTTTAGAATTTAAATGAAACTGGACAACTTGGTATTATTATTACATTTATAACTATTATTATTAAAATCATTTACATAAATTTATGGGAAAAAACCATTTCTGAGTAAAAATCACCGTTCAAAATAGCACTAAATCTCAAATCCAAGGAAAAAAAAAGCAATTTTATCTTTTAGTAAAATTTTAAAATGCAAAAATGAATTTAACAAAGAAAACTAACAAAAACCAAAAATTTCCATTATTTTTTTTTTATTCTACTTTTATATTGTCAAAATTATCGCAAATTAAAAGCGAATTAAATAAAAAATATTTACTTCAGGAAATGGATTAAAATTATGCTGGCAGCAATTATTCAAATGCACATTAGAAGTAAGAACTTTCTCCATAAATGCAACTTGATTCACAGCAATAACATAAAATAGGCAAACAATTAAAATGAATAACAATAATTTCTTATCAGCTTTCAATTTTTGCTCGTTAACATTTCGTATTTTCTGCAAAATTTTTCTTTTTAGAATAAAAGAATAAGCATAATAATAGCATAAAAAACAATTCTAATTGTTAAATATCTAATTTTTTAATAAATCGAATTTAAGTCCAAAAAATCCTTTATAAAATTCTTTATTATTGCTATTCTTTATTTGCTTTTTAAACCATTTAAAAAAATTCGATTTATGATACTTTTATGATTTATGATGAACTAATGAAATAAATGAAATAAAGAAATTATTATCAAAAAAAAAATGATATGATCCGATAAGAAATGAATTTTTGATCCAATCAGAGCTAACTTAGTTGAATTTCAAGACCTGGACTGATACAATAAGAAAAAATTTTGAACGTATAGGTGGGCCAGCAATATATGGACTTAGACGATGGAAAAAGGAATGGCTTCTACTATTGTCGAAGATAGCATCAGACCGTGCCGCTTGGAAGCGTCTTACCTTTATAGCCGTTGGAGCCAGCCTAACCAGTAATGGTGACAGCTATTAGAAAAAAAAGAATTTAGTTGAATTAATTTCGTAAAATTAAACTATATAAAGATAATTATTGCTAAGATAAATTATCATTTCTTTTTTCAAAATCTATTTCGGCGAAATAAGAATATTTTACAAAAAAATTAATAAAAAAGATTCAAAAATCATAACTTTAATAGTATTTTAATAATTTAAAAAAAAATAATAACTATAATAATCACAATATTATCAATAAATAAAAATTATTTTTCCAAAAAAACTTATAAACCTACTCATTTAGAAAGCTTTACAGTCTCTCAATCCTCAATTTCTCTAATGAATTCATTTCAATAAAATATAATTCCAATCGATATGAATAAAAAAAACCCACTTCCATTTCATCGCAGCACAAATCGACCGGTGGCTGACGATGCTAGAAATTAATTTTTCACTAAATTCGTAATTGAATTCATTGGCATCGCTATCAATTTAATTGCCACGTATTAAAAGCTGGAAATTTAAAAAAATTAAATTAATTTATAAAATTAATTAATTGCCTTTGAAAAAAAAGGAAAATTCAACCATATAAATTTAATTCAAAAAAATAAGCAAATATTAATTATATTTTATATTTTAATTCTACAATTTAAATAAATAAATACCGCGTAGAAGAAGAATAAATCGCATTTAAATTGCATTATTGTTGTAATATGACGAAGAAATAAATTTATTCTGAAAAAAAAACAAACAAATTTTTTTCAATAATTCTTTTAAATAATAAAAAAATAAAAAGCAATAAATTGCTTCAATGTTATCGACTAAACAATTACAAATAAAATGAATTGATTCTTAAACAAATATGAGAAATGAATGAAAACGAAAAGCAAAATGAAACATTCAAGAGATTCGACAAATAGAAAAGTCTGCAGTTATATTATTTATTAAAAATTATATTAATAATTATTTGATTTATACATTAAAAAAAAATCCAATTAAAATATCTTTTCAAACGAAATAACTTAAAATTAGCGAATGAACAACTACTTTAAAGGACATAAATATGTAGTAAAAGAGTTAGTGAAAACAAGTAAAAACCTGTTTCGCGATGATTTTCTCTTTTTTGTTTTTCGAACTTCGAAGAATGAAAATTTTTCGAATAAATGAAATTTAAAGCTCGATTTCCACGCGACTTTATCTTATTTACTCGCCTGAAATTAGCGAATAAACAATGATTTTAAGCAATAATATTCAATAAAATAGTTAAAACATATAAAAAAAACTCGTAATTTTTTTTGAAGTTTTAAAAAAATTTCAAACTTCAAATAAATTAAAGCTGGAATTCTAATTTCACTAAAAATTACAACAATACGATTTTTGTCTAATGAAATTTCGAATTTAAAAAATTTTTAAATTTTATTAAATAATAAATTTTAGATTTTAAACTTTAAAATTAAAAATAAAAAATCTGATAAATTTAATAAATTAATTTAATTTCATTAATTAATAAATTAAAAATTAAAAAATTTTAAAATATTAAATTTTTAAAATAAACTTTATAAATCCTAAATTTTTTCGCTAGAAATCCAGTGCATTTTCTTTTATGATATTTGTTCATATGCTTAATAACTTTATATGCCACGCTAATTTACCTATTTTTCAACATAATGATTTTAAAATTTATTTACAAAAATCCATATTTATAAAAAATTTAAAACTAACAATTAGACAATTAATTTAATTTAAAATTTAATATTTATTTACAAAAACGGCATTTATAAAAAATTTAAAAAAATTTGATTATTTAAAAATGCTATCAGAAAAAAATAATCATAAAATTATTGCTAAAATATTTGCAATTAAAAAAAAAAAAAAATGGAAAATGCATGAATAATGAGAAAAAAAACTAACTATTCCCTCTTATAAAATCTTATAAAATGAATCATAAAAGAAAAAATTGCGAACCATAACTTTCAACAAAATTCTAATAAAATATAAAACATCAATTCATGAAAGCAATTCGCCAAGACGCTTCAAGGTCTTTCATATCAAAATATATTCAATCAAAATTCTCGAATAATCATTCAACTGAAAAATAAAATTAATTATAAACAAATCATAAATAAATGATCAAATAACATAAATTTCACAAAAGAAATTAAAAAATGGAAAGAATCCATTTGAATTTGAACAAAAATATCATAAAAAATTTTTATTAAAAAAAAAATTACCAAATTATTGAAAAAAAATATTAAAAAACTGTGAAAGAAAAAAATTATTAAAAATATTTTAAAAGTGCAACAATTTATCAAAATTATCAAATGTTATTCGAGCTTATCACCCTATCAATTCAAAAATTCCTTAAAAAAACCTATAAATTTTAGAAAAAAAATCTTGCATTCTTCATTCCATCTAATATAAGCGAATTCTAATTCGTCATTTAAAAAATCCTCCGAGACAATCCTCAATTCCCATTAAGTACCACTGAAATATTATCAAATGTCGCCAAAAAAATAACTGGTTAAATACATAATTCCCTAAATTTTCCAATCAATTTCTCATTTTCCATTGGCATTATTTATTTCTAAAAAAATTTCTTTTTTATAATCGTCGAAATTTTATACCATCAAAATGGCATTAAATAATAAAAATGGAACACATAAAAAATGGAACATTTAAGTCAAAAAATTTTATTTTTCTATTTTTTCGATTAACCTATTTCATCTAAATAGGGTCAATCGGACTCTTTTTTTGTGAGAAAACGATAATCGATTATAAATCAGTAAATTAAGATGAATGAGTGGTTAGTATGAAAAAAAAAGGATGAATCTAAAAATAGTCCATATATATGAATTTATAACAATTATAATCAACTGATGGCCTTAATTCACCATATTTATAAATAAAGAAGCTGGAAGAGGTGTCTTCGATAACAAATATGATAAATAATAGAAAAATTAATAAAACCAAAATTATTAGCAAATTTAAAACCATTTACATATTATGCACTTGCCAATAAATCGATATGTACAAAAATTTGGACAAACGATTTTGCCTTCGTAAATCAAATTTAAAAATTTATAATTAAAAAATAATTGAAGTCGAAAGATGATTCATGCCAATTTTAATCATTAAATTTTATAAAAACAAATATGGATATTTTAAAAGAAATCCTATAATTTTCAACAGAATCCATTAGAAAAAGATTTGAATAGTTGAATAATTTTTTAAATTTTAATTATTTCAATAAGAAAAATAGAAAAATACGGAATTTTCTAAAAATCATCTAACGAAAATAAAATTTTCAAACAAAAAAATTATAGGGAACATATAATTAAATATAACAAATAATATAATTAATATAAGTTAAAAAATTTTATCTTATATTTTTTCGATTAACTACTTCACCTAAATAGAATAAATAAAATTTAGAATAAAATTTGGAAAAATTAGAATAAAATTTAAAAATTTGGAAAAAAATGAAAAGAAAGCAAGGATACATGATGAATGAATTAAACTTATAATAAGGTTATGGTTATGTTTGCTCAAAAAACTTGGAAATTCGACTTTTCGCTTCCTTTAGACGACCCGATTTTTCACCACGTTTTACTCGTTGTTCGCTAGTTGAGGCAAATGGCCCCAGAACATGGACCTGCTTATCGCTTGTTCGCACGAAACTAACTATTTTTTCATTAAAATCACCAACTATTTCATCTCGTATTGTACTCGATTTTTCCTGCAGACATAAATAGACATAAACGTATATTATTTCATAAGAATAGTTTTTAATAAATTTAACAAATAAATTCTTCAATAATTGAGAAAAACTGATACAAAACTGAAACTGATTTTCAGGATCTCAAAAAATTAAAAAACTATTGAAAAATTTTATTAAAAAATTGATCGGTCTTTTTCTTAAAGAGTCCTCACCATTACTGGTTAAACTTACTCCACTGGCTTGCCGTATTGGCAATATGCCAGGGCGATCCTTGGCGATAGATAGAAATAGATGATTAGCCAGTATCACCCGGTTTTGCACAGGTTTATTCACTCCTGCGGTGAATCGAATCTCAGTATCGGCGCTCCCAGTCAAGCAAAAACCCACTGAGCTATTCTATGCTACCCCACCCCCTCAAAAAAAAAAATATAAACGTAATATAATATTCATTTTTATACCGTAATCATTCTTTTATCGGCACAACAATATATATTTATTGACGGATAAGGCAAAAATCCAACCATTTTGGGAATTATTGAGAAAGATATTTGTCCCAGGCCACTTTCTTTAACACATAAAACTGCAACATAAAAAAAATTTAAAAAAGTCGTCATAAAAGTCGCCATGTTTATAATGAATAAATATTCTTAAATAATCTTCTAAAGAAAATAAAATAGATAAAAATGGAATGAAGAAGGACGAACATTTATTTCGCTCTCTAATATCCCAGAACGTCGGGTCTGAATCTAAATTTATCATAATTGTTTCAACCTGATTCGTAAGACTTCGAAGTGAAATAATCATATCACATTCATTATCAATACGACATAATGCAGCACCAGGCTGAGAAGAGAGCAACTGAGCACAGAGTTCGTAAGAAGGCTAAAAAATTTCATAAAAAAAACTTATTATAAGAAAATAATAGACAAATTAAAAGAAAAAAAAAATTTAAAATACCCCTTTCGCAGAAATAAATGCTTCATCCATGAATAAATAATCTCTTGAAAATATATTCATAGGCACATCGCAATCTTCTGCTTTCACTGGCATGATATTGTACGTCAAAATAATCTGATGCTCATAAGAACCTTGAGATGGCTTGCTATATGGTAATATCCAAACAATTCGATATGAGCTCTTAGGATAAATCTCCTGAAATCGAACACCACAATGATTGATTGCATAACTGTTGAATATGGAAATAAAGTAATACAATTTATTACTGTCAATTTAGGGTTAAGAAGCTTTGCTGGAAGTTGTGGCCCATTCTTCATGCGAGTAAGGGTAGCTTCTTTTGGAAACATCACCCAAGTATCATCCCACGGACGTATAATTTGCATTTCAAACAATACTCTATAAAATTGATTTATCATACAAGAAAAATCTAGAGGAGCAGTTTCATAAAAATTATAGAAAAATTAAAAATTGCTGACTTTTCTTCCAATAATGTTGTACTCATATTGAGATTCATAACAGGCAAAAATTCGAGCGAGAATTTCCATATCCTTTGCAACCATTCTATACAAACCTAGAACATGATAAATGATAATTCAAATGATAAAATGAATTTCTCATAAAGCATATTTTTTCCAATCTAAAAAAAAATAATACATTATATTTTCTTAGCGCATCTTACAGCACATTTTCTTCTTTCTTTAATTTGTTACCTCTTGAAAAAGAGCGAATCGCTGTTTATCGGGATTGGCCTTGATAAGATCTCGTAAAGATTTACAAATAAAAATCGGTACACATAGTGAACCTGCAGTTTCTAGAGCTTTGATTCGAATGTTTGCCTTTTTCGCCCATAAACAACGTTCTTCGTCCTTAATATATAAAATATTAGAATTAATCTACAAAACTACAATCTTATTTTTATTGAAAAAATCTGAAAGACAAATAAATATAAATACAATTGATAAATACAATTATAACAAACCCAAAATTCAACATCATTATTGCTTTCTGAAATGCTAGTTTCTATTGTAGCAGTGCTTTCTGTCATACCTTTGGAGCCGAAATAAAATTCAAATTCAAGTTTTTGACATAACCCAGCGTATAAACATCCACCTGCAGAATATAATACTACTAATGATCTATTTAGAGCCAACTATATTTGCAACAGTATTTTCTTTTAAGAGTCCTCACCATTACTGGTTAGATTCGTTCCGCTGGCCTATCGTACTAGGTAAATATGCATGGAATCCCTTGGTGAATTATAGGTGAATCGCCAGCATCACCTGGATTTTTGGACTTAGTTTTATTCCTACGGGAAATAGAAACTCAATATCGGCGCTACGAACTGAAACAACCAAAATCCAAATCATTCCAAAATCGTCCAAATAAAATTAAAAAATAAAGAAAAAAATTACCACAATTTTGCTTTAGTTTGATATCTATGGGTTGATCTTGAATAAATAAGATAGGTCTATAAGAAATGTCATGCAAAACTTGTACCAAATCAGTCCATTTTAAATGAATAAAGAGCAAAGAGCCAACTTCAATTTCCACATTATCAAGAAGATAAACGCCAGCTTCGCCACCCTTAATTTTATCAACGATAAGTTTTGTTTAAAAGTATTAATACTAAATATCAATTTTTAAATAAAACGAAGCAATAAAAAATACAGGTTGGAATGGTATTAAGCCGAGATATGACCGTAAATCTATTCTAGAGATTATTCGCCTCATAAAGGTGTTTTATCAACGTACATTGGCACAAGTCTACGTATATGGGGAATTGACTGAAGCTTTCGAAATAAAAAATGGTGGCTTCACCCTTTCCCCTACAATATTTAACTGCGCGATGGACTAGATAATGGGCATCGCTTGTCGACACTCAAGAGTTGTGCAAATCAATCCAAGGCACAGCATCAGAAACCTTGAATACGCTGATTATGCAGTCCTTTTTGCTGAGAGTTATGAGAGTTAAGAGCTAATAATGTCTCGACATCTGTAGAGAATAGGATGATTAATCGATTAATTAATGTAAATAGACGAAATGAGGAAATGCCATACTATAAATGCCTCAGATCCACTCTAATCCCAAATGGCCAAGCTAAAGATGAAATTAAAACCCGGCTAATGGCAGCTAGAAATGCTTTATTCCAGTTGATGAAATTCTTGCGGAAACGTCGTGAAATCATCATGAAGACGCGTCCGTATAATTGCAGTTCGTTCGATCTTGCTATGGCTGCGTGACCAGGCCCATTGAGAGTGGAGGATATCAAGAAGGGATCTACCTTTTAAAACTCATGTTTATCATACGAGCCAAGCTGATAAAATTGCACAAAAGCACGCTGAGATACCACTTGTTACCATCACCTAACCCCGTCTTCGTTAGTTAGGACATGTTCTCCGTCATCCACTACAGGAGTTGACTGTTGCTATGTCTTGTAACATGCGTCAAAAGCGAGGTTGTCCAATGAAGACCTGGACTGATACAATCAAGAAACAGGATGGCCAAACCAGCAATATATGGATTTAGATGATGGAAAAAGGAGTGGTTTCTATTACTGCCAGCGACAGTATCGAATCGAATAGCCTGGAGATGCCTTACCCTTGTAGCCAGCAGAGTAACCAATCTAACCAATAATAATGAGAGTTGTTAGAAGGCCAAAATATAAAATTAAAACAAAAAAACAAATATTAATAAATGAAACCAACCATTGCATATAATGATAAAGTTGACAGACCAGGTTCAAGTACACTGTTTTCACCTTTTTTAGAAGACTCAAAAATCAACAAGTCTTGAATATCATCTTCAATCACTCCTGATAAATTCATTCCGTTTGTTGAATCTTTCATAATGGGCACATTGCATTCGCCTTTCCAAACACAACCAAAACGACTTGTATTATCCAATCGCTTAAAACGGACATCAAAATAAATTGTAATAATAATTGTAGTTGTAGTTAAAATTTAAAAAATAAAACAAAAATGGGAAAAAATCCGATATAATCCTTGCCCTTATCTAAACCATTCTAACTGACACAATGAGCATTTCCATTTTTCGTTCCAAAACCAAAAAAATAAGATTCACTCATTATAGATTACTAAATTCAGCCAAACAATTTAAGCAAATAAACAAGATTTGATTTAGAGATATTTTTGCTCTTTAAAAAATTAATGTAGGAAAAAGTAATAACTAACATTATAGGAACATTCGAAATGTGGAAAGCGACCACCAACGCGCTTAGAAAATATCTGACTGGACGGCATCTTCTTAAAAATTACACGCATACAATAATCAGAAATTTGTGAAGGAAATTTATTTTCAATTTCAAATTTCTGTTCCAACTGCATTCCAGGAGTTCCAACCACATGCGAAATATAATCACGAATAGAAATGTTAGGTGATCGTGACAATCCACATTTCGAAGCGGACTTTTGTAAATGAACTAAGAATGGCGATAAAAGATGACTTTGCTTCGGCGAAAGCCTAAAATATAGTAAAATCAAAATTACTAGAATATGCTACATATAGAATATTCATGGTTTTTAAGTACCAAGAAAAATGACCAACTAATTATTTCTGGTAATCAATTATCTTTACCTTGCCTCTTTAATTCACCTTGAATTACAAATTTTAATTATTCTAAATTAGGTTTTAGAGGATATGCAAGTTAATTATAGAAAAATAAAGGAAAATTTTAAGCACTTTTCGAACTGCAAAAATACACCTTATTTTTGATGAATATATAAAAGATACCTTATCTTTGATTGATTAGAGTCCAGTAACCGTAATAATTTGCCACAATATTCCAATTTTTCTTTCTCGTCTTTGCAATTTAAAGAAAGCATAAGATAAAATTCCACTAGTCTGTAATCGTAGCATAATGATGCTGAATTTCAAAATTCTCATAAGAATTTCCTTTTATATAATTCATCTACTAATCTGCATGCTGATACAGTGATAACTCTTAACGATACACCTTAATAAACAGCAATAATAATGACGGAATGGTTCAGTGGGTTATTGGCTTTCATTTTGGGGCATGGTTCCAATTCCGTAAAATATTTTCATCAAAAATCCTGATGGCGATCCATCTGTATTTCAATCTTTTAATATTTCTGTATTTCTATCTTTAAATGGCTCTCTAATAGAATTTATCTAGTCCGATAAGTACCAGCGATCAGCGAAATAAGGCTAATCGGAAATGGATCCATAAAAAAGAAATCATTTTATGATTTAACAACTTCAAGATGTAATCATTAAATGATAATTATTAAATATGAATTGATGAAAAAAATTTTATAGGAAATAAAATTCGGTAAAAAATATAAAGAAAAAATATTTTTAGAAAAAATCGAAAGTTTTATCATTTAAACGACAAAAAAAGGACTTACTCCTTTAAATATAAATCAGGAAAATTTTCAAGCTGAATAACTAATGTACGTAATGTGTTTATAAGAAGAAATTGCGAACAACCTTCATTTATAAGACTATGTACAAACTTTAGTAAATATGGCAATGCTCCTTCAATTCTGTCTGATGACCTTTAACAATATTATTTAATAATATTATAAAAGAAATGAAAATAAATAATTCAATTATACTATACATAAAATAAATAAGAGTAAGATTTAATTTCAATTTAATTTAATCATCATTTAATCTAATTATTATTTTAAATACCAAATTTAAATACCAAATATATAAATATATATAAAAAATAGAAATGAAATGACAAAAAATCCACTTTTTTATTTAATTTTCCCTCGAAATTAAAAAGAACAATCGTATAATCGCATAATTTATGTCTAAGAAGAAATCTTGAAAAATCAAACTGGAGATTTAGAAAAACTACTATATAATATTTATCAGTCTTACTAAATGTTCGGAAAAAAAGATGATTCCAATCCTGCGAAATCATCACTATGAATAAAAATCGACTAATGCGCGTAAAATCTATTATAGTTTGGCACGAAAATCGTTAAGTTATCTTCTACCAGTAAATAGTATTTTTTTAAATTTTTTTGCCAGCAACATCCTCATAAATCCTTTTGTAGCACTTTTATTCCCTAGGACTCAGTTATAATTCCTTAATATTCATATTCCTATATATATATATATATATATATATCTGGCTCCTTTCATTTTCATTTTTTAATCATTTCATTCATTCTATCATTTCATTTTTTATCATTTTTATATTGTTAAAAACATACTAATAGTATGATTTTTTTGAATAATATTCCAATATTTTCGCAAAAATAAACTTACTCACAAAAGGAAATTAGCAAGTTGCCAACTCAAAAATTTTGCTTGTCGCTTCCAATTAAAATGTTTTAATAATGCAATGGAACTTTCATGATATTTTTGCATATAATGAGTAAATTGTTGCCGATCAGCCACAATATGCCTCAAAAAAAAATAATTTTATAAAACTAGGCAAAACACTTAGAAAAATAGATATTTCCATAAAAAATTATATTTTTATTACAGATGCGATTATTATTAAAAAAAATTATTTTCAAGAGCTTCGAATCTTCCAAAAAATTTACTCATCAATGTATTCTAAATAAATAATGGAACTTTACCTAATTTCGACCACTGCATTTGATTGATTAGCTAGACTACCGCATAATTTAGCACCATTTTCAAACCATTCACCAAATTCTCGAAAACAATGATCCTTTGTATTCTTGCCAAGTTCCGCAATCTAAAAATTATTTCATTCATTATTAGTTCTAGGAAAACAGGAAAAACAAGTTTTTCATGGATAAAAATTATTAATCGAGAGAATTCTTTAATATAAAAATAAAATGAACTAATCTAAAAATATATTACCGCACTACATTTCAAAACCGATAATGAACAAGCCGAATATGTGGCTCGTTGAACGAGAGATGCGTCCATAAGAAGTGATGTTAACTGATTGGCTTCAATACAAAACGCTATAATCCAACATTGCACCTGACCGTGATTAAACTTCAGCTGAAAAATTTTCAACAGGTCATTTAATAACGGTTTCTTTAATTAGACTAATCATTTAGCAAAATTTTTCATTTTTTCAAAATCAAAAAATTTTCATTTATTAGGTTTATATATATAAATATATTTAAAAGCCCTCACCATTACTGGTTAGACTCGCTTGTCGTACAAAATGCAGTAGAATTTCAATATCGGCACTTCGAAATGAATTGAGTAACACGCATTCTCTGAACTATTCTACCTCTTTTATAATCTTATATAAAATTATTATATAAAATGTCATACCTTCAAGGATGAAATATTTTCATAAATAGTAGATAAGCAATGATGGGAATAACGAAGTAAAATAGCGGCAAAATCTAATTTAATTTGTTCCAAATTTGGCATATCATTCAAATTAATTTGTTGAATTCTGTCCTGATAAACACGAAGCGAATTCTAAAAAATAATTCATTTTAAAATAGCACATTCTTGAAAATTGAGAATTACATTTAATATTAAAAAAAAGCTAGGAACTTGAAAAGAAATATAGAGAAACCAAAATTACATGAAAATATTATAATTATGATATGAAAAAAAAATTTCTGAGCTTACTTACTAATATCTGATTGGCTAAAATTAAACATCGAAATTCGATTAATGACATCGAAGCATTTGGTTCATTATAATATAGCATAGGTAACAATAGTGGACATGCATTATTAAAGCTATGCGTCTCTTGTAGCCATTGTGGAAGTGAATCTATAAATTACATTCAATAAATGACACCACTTATAATTTGTCATTTAAATATATATATATAATAAATAATATCAAAAATAAAACATATATATATCATTTAAATAAATACGATGCAATGCAGATACCATTCGTACTGTAATGTGAAACAATTAATGATAGAAGAGCATCCAATTCATCAAATAAAGCTAGAGATTGTTCATTTATACCCAAAGAATAATACAAATGAGATAAATCCATCTGAAAATTATTCTGATTCCATACACGATAATATTATTGACCGAAAGGAAAAAAAATTTCAAATTCGTCAAATGCGTTTTCTAATAATTTAATCATTTTCACTTGATGATTTTTGAATAAAAATAAAAAATTTTTATTAAATATTTTACACTGAATAATAAATGATTAAATAAATGAGTGATTATCATTTCAAAGGGATTATTTATCTACTACGATTCCCAGGCATACTCCTTTACTACGACAAGCCAGTGAAGCGAATCTAACTGGCAATAGCGAATACTCTTAAAAAACAAAAAAAAAAATTTCTTGAAATGCAAAAATATTTATCTTTTATTTAATTTAAGTAACAAACCTGTAAACCACAATGACGAATGAAATTGAAATTAGGTTGATTAAAATTTTCTTTGTAATCTGCCAACATATTTTCACGATTTGTAGCAAAATTATCGAGAGCGGAAAATAAAGAGAACTGTACCAAATTTTGTAAAGCGTTCATGGAAGAAGTTGAACCATCATAAATTTCAGCAATCCTGAAAAAAATTTTTTGTAAAGAATTACAGAAATAATCGCCTATCATTTACTACAAATAAAAAAACAGAAGCACCTATTTATAAATTTTGAAAAATCGCTTTTCATCCGTTCAAGAATAGCACCACGAGTTTTTTTCTCTCTCGCCTTCGTACTATCAAATACGATGATCCATTCACTCGATTCGATAGCATTAACTGTGGCAAACCATTCACTTACTTCATGTCTCCATGTGTTTTTATAATCTTCCACCATCTAAAATAAATGATTGATTATTAAATAATAATTAGAACTAATTTTTCGAAAAATCAAAATTACCGTTGGGTTGATGAAAAACAGATGTAGAAAAGCAACAGATTCCCATTTTATGCTATTAATTTTCGAATTATCAAAAAGCACACTTTGATTGAAAGGTTCGAATCGAAGAGATACTTTTACATCTAATGGAAATGAACAAGGTCTTCCAACTCTTAAATCCAAAACTCTTATTTAAAAATAACAAAATTTCTAGTGTATTTTCAAAACAAAATACAAATGGTTTACATCTAAATTTCTTCTAAATATCAAAACTCGCATTTCAACAGTAACTTTAATATGTATTTATGGCCGACGAATAAATAATTTTCGATCGTTAAAATAGTTTAATTAGTTTTATTAAAATAGTTTAAATAGTTTAATATTAAAGAATAAAGATAATTTTAAATAACCTTTTCCACAGGACAATATTTCGTTCAAAAAAAGAATTAATTTTAGATTCACATATTTCACGTATTTCTTCACAACCTCTATCTGAAAGTGAAAAATTAAAAGAGATAAAATGAGCAGTGATATGAGTCACTGATAAGCACCATCAGCCTTGATTTTTTAAATGAATGAAGCAACCAATTAAAAATATAATTAATTAGTAAAATGTGTATTAGAGTGTTCGCAGACCAATCACACCTCCAAGTTATTACCTGGTGAAAGTTATTTCCTCACCTTAACAGTTGATGCAAGCAGCCAAACTAGACCGAGCTTTTAAGGATAAGCTTCAGTTCATTAGGCAACTTATTTTCTAGAATTCTATAGATTTCTTATCCTTGCTTAGTTGTTTCTACAATTGCTCCACTGGTGACCCAGGAAAGATGCTTCTAAGCCTTCTGATCCGATCATATTCTTAGTAATTAAAGCATTTCTCCATTTAAGCTCGCATATCAGTTGGTACTGAGCTGGTATTCAAAGTCTCCTCTGTCGGTCCAGGCCCTCATAAAGATTCTTCTTCTAACAACTTTCACCATTACTAGTTAGGCCAGTTCTAATGAATTTCTAATGAAAAATACCGAATAAAAAATTATTATCCCCTAATTTAATAAAATTCTGCTGGCTACAAGGTCCCACAAAGCATTTATAAGCTATCCGACGCCATCGTAGACATTAAAATAAATCGTTTTTTTTTTGATCTTGTAAATCCATATATAACTGGTCCACCTAGATTTTCCTTATCCTTGCAGATCTTGATTAGCCCTCTTCATTTTTTACACCATCTATCACAGTGTTCTGTAAGTAAGGAAATATCAACTCCTGTGATGGGAGATGAAAAATGTGCCCTAACCAACGAAGGCGACGCTTTATGACGGTGCTATTAATGCAAATGGTATCTGAGCGAAGCTGGATGCAATCACGTGGTACTTTATCCGTTCGATATCTGACGGATCCATAAAATAAATCTTAGACATGAGTGGTCAAAAGCTGATAGCTTCTTAATATCTTCCACTCTCATCGGCCATGTCTCGCAGTAATAGGGATTATTTTAACGAAAAGTGAATAAAATATATTGATACTTTAAAATGAATGAAATATTTTTGAGGAATTAACGAATCAAAATTTCTTAATAAAATCTCATATCGAATTTTATTTATATACTAAAAGGCTTAAATTAGCACCTAAAAATTATTCTAAACAATATCAAAATCTTATAAAAATATCTAAAATTTCTATTATTTATATATTATATATTCTATTATATATTTTATATATAAAAAAAAGTATAAAGTTGATAATAAAAATTAAAAATTACACTAACATGAAACGTTTATTTTTGACGATTGTCGAATATTCGTCAAATCCGATAGATCCATTGATCACTTCGCGTAATACGTTTCCTTTTTTATTTTTTATAATTATAATTATTATTTAAACTAAAAAATTATATATAAATTATTATGAATGAATTTAATGAAATTAACGAATATTTCTTTTTCTCGAATTGACCTCACCAATTTTCTTCTTCTTTACTACTAATTCACAACATTTACAATTTTACATTTTACAATTTGACTCATTCCATATTCGTGATCAAATGCCATTCATTATCAATCAGTAATCAGTAAATGAAAATAATTTAAAAAATAAAGAGAATAAAATCGATTTATCTGATTTATTGAAAATTGACTCTCTCATAATTTTTACATAATTTAATGATCTATTTGATCTATTTTTGTTATTAAATCACTATTTATTTATTTTTAATAATTTCAAATGTGAATTATTTAATCTTTATTCAATTTTATTTATTTTAATATTTATTATGTATTAATTCTTATAATATAATTTTTATTTCTTTAACAATTGCATTTTGAATAAAAAATCTGATAAAAGTTTAAATTTAAAAGTGATAAGGATAAAGATAACGAGCAAAACGATTTATCTCGACTATTTTCAGATATTAGAAGTTTAATCATTGTTGAATAATCCGGTAATAAGATGAAGATTCTTGCAAGTGCTAATAAAAATGAAGTCCTTAGGACCCATAAATAATCCCATCCCTTATTGACTTTTCAATATGTATTGAAACCGCTCTCATCCCAATAATCATTATAAAAAAAATTGTGGGAACTGAAAAAAACATTAAAAATACCATATTTCAATATTCGTTGTGAGACCTAAGAATTTAAATTCCATAAATTTCGAAATTATTTTTGAATTATTATTTTTATTCTTATTTATTATTATTAATTATTATTTAATTATTAAAAATATTATAATAAATAATAAATTTTTGAATGGAATGAACTTATTTTAAAATTTAGAATTTAGTAAAAATGCCGAAAATTTCTTTGAAAGTTTTAGTACACTTATCGTTTTGTGCAATTAAATTTTTAATATTTCAATAAAATCACAATCACAACTTTTTTTTCGACTTTAGTTTTTCGTTTTATTGTAAATAAAAGTTTATAAATTCTAAAATCGAAAAGAAAATATTTTAGAATTATTTACTCAAACGAGTTTCATAATAAAAGGGCAAAAAAAAAAAATTATAAAAAATATAATTTTTGAAATAAATTAAACAATGAAAAAAATTGGAAAAATAAATAAAATATGAAAAAATTAAATAAATAAATTTACAGAATGAAAACTTTAAAAAAAAAAAAAAACAAAATATTACTGTTATATTATTACTGTAAAATGAATTGATTTCATTTAGAGTGGAAAGCGATTTTCGAAAAAGTTCATCGAATCATTTTATTGGTGAAAATTTGGCGATAATTGACGATAAATATTTATTAAGTTGATCATTGTGATAATCAGCGATCAGCGATAATAAAGATGTTCAACCAGTGATAAGCGATCATGGCGATAACGAAATTATTTATTAATGATAAGTGATGAAAACTGACAACGGCAGCGAAAACTTCCGACAAATCATGATAAATCATGATAAAGAGATTAATTAAGAAAAAAAATCAAGCCTATCAAGCATCCGAAATCTTATCAAGACGAATATTTATTATCATTTTTTTATCAAGTTTGTTTTATGCTAAAAATGCCAATTCTTTAAAAATTTTCTAATCATTAATTCGAAAATGGTGCGTTTAAATTTCTGTGGTTTATGATTCCATGAATTTTTAACCACTTTATAATTATTTACAGCAAATAATAAAAAATAGTTAACGACATTTTGCCTTTTAGGCTTTTTTCATTGGTTTTAAAATTGATTATCAGTACGATGAAAAAAAATTTTCGTGGCGAGTTATTTGCCGATCTAATCGAAGTGTATCGATGAATTGTCTGAGCACTCCAGTTGGTTATTTTAGTAATAGATTTACTGCTATAGGAAAATAGAGAATTTCAACGATTGAGGCGATAATCTGTGTAATAACCAATCGGTTTGCGGCTTTCGTTAACGAATACAAAAAAAAAAAAAAAAGATTTTTCCATGATTTTTTAAATCGGCTCACTGATATCTTATCTTTTCTAAAAATTTCTAGAAATCTAGATAATGCTGTTCATAATTAAATTATTCGAAACAATGCCAACAAGTTTTTTCGTTTTTTTTTTCGCTAAATTCATTAAAACTGAAAGTTTGAATCGTTCATTCATAACACATGAAATTTATTTTTAATATGATATGATAAATGATAAAACGGCATTTTATATTTAAATTTTAAAAATTTCTTAAAAATTTTTCATATTAAAAATATCGCTAAGAAAATCAGCATTAAAGTTTTATATTGAACTTAAAAAAAAACCACAAAAACTATTTTTTTTTGATATTTATGACAATTTTATTAATATTTTCTGGTAAAATCTGCTATTTTTATTTTTTTTTATCAGAGACTATGTGAAATCTATGAATTTGTGTAATTGTTTAATTCAATGATAGATAAAAATTTATGAAAATAAAAATTCACTTTTAGCTACTATTTTTATTGCTTTATAATTAATGTAATTAAGCGATAAACGTTCACTGACCATTTCAGATTATCTTCATATGGCTATATTTTTGTGTTATTATTGTATTTTTGAATCGAACTATAATTGGTTTCTTAATGCCATTCGTAGCAAATCTCTGGCATCATCTTATCATTATTCTTATCAGTGTTCTTATCTTTATAGGCGATTATCTCTTAGTAAATGGATTTGATTTTTTTAGGATGAATGTTTAGTGATAAACTTTTTTTTTTGTAAATTATTGCCAATATTTTTTTTTACAACAAACAAAACATACAGTAATAAACGTTTTCTGATGCCCTTTAGATACTGTTTGATAAACGAGAATTCCATTCCGAGAATATTGATAAGTAACCTTTCGTCGTTAAAAAACATATCATTCGCCACTATAGAAAAGAATCTTCATCATTCAAAAACAATTTTTCAGAGTTTTAGAATGATGAAACGAGTTTTCGAGAAAATCTTCTCTTCCTTATTTTTATCATCCGTCAACAGTACTCTCATAAATATTACAGTTTATGTAGCGTTTCATTTTGCGTAATGGTAAATTACAAAGTAGAAAAGAGCAAAATGGATTGGGCGATTAAAAAAGGGTTACAAGTAGAGGGTGAGGGATAGAAGAGGGGTGAAGGAGTTAGGGAGGAGGAAGGGAGGAGGGTTTTATTTTAATAATAAGTAAAATATTTTAATAAAATCACCAAAATGCCTAAATATGAACAACGACACGCCCTAGTTTATAAACGATATTTTAAGAGGGTGGCGTTTTATTCAACGAGATTTTTTAAACGCGAAATATTTTTGAGAATTCTTCTTTTCCCACATTTTTAGTGAACTCGTTTAGCCTAACAAGCAACCAGTTGCTCCGTTATAAATATATATTCACTACACTCGTTTCAATAATATTTTTCTATTCAATCAACGTTTTTGTTTAAAAGCGCAAAAATTTCTTTTTTTTTTTGTAAAAAAAGACTTAAAAAATTTTTTTGATTTCCTTAAAAAGGAAAAATTTTTCAATTCCATTCTCCTTTCATTATAAACGATAAATTATTTAAATTATTTAAAACAATTTATTCAATAAAAATTATGCTTTTACTAAATATTCTTCTTCATATATCAATCGCTTATGGTAAGTAAATTTTTTAAATTTCTTTCTTTTTTTTTTAATAAAAATTATAAAATAAAAAAATAAAATTTTATATACTTAATAAAAAATATAAAAATTATTGTGCAAAAGTTATTATTTAAAATTAAAATTAAACTAAAAAAAAAATTAAATTTATTGTGTATTGTATTATTTAAAATATTATCAGTACCAATATTAATTTTAAATAATTCTATAATATATAACGAAAAGTATGAAAATTGTATTTTGGAAGTTTTGTTGTAATATAAATTTTTTTTTTTTTTTCTTCAATAGAATTGATCCGTTTCATAAATCCTTTTTATTTCTTCAATTTTCCTTAAAATTCATTAAATTTCAATAAATATTCTTCTAAATAAATCGAGAAATTTGTAAGAAAAATTATTAAACATTTCATTAATTATTGTTTTGAAATAATACGAAGAAATTGCTGAAATTCCTTATGAAATTTTGAATTATACAGGTTTTTTGATAGCGAAAACGAAGTGAGAACATTTATGATAAATAATTATTAATCATTTATCATTTATTAAATTAGCTAAATATTCGAATAATCGAATAAAAATTTGTTAAATAATATTTAAAAACCTAAAAAAATTTTCCTTTAAATACATTTTTTTCTCCATGATTTAATATTTTAAAATTGTTAAAATTAAATTAATCATAATGCCTTTAAAAAAAAAAAAAAAGTAATTTAAAAATTAAAGAAGTTTAGAGTTGAAGAAAGGGTGAGTACAGTGTGATTCATTTATTAAAAATCAAATTTCTTCGACAATAACTAGATTTAATTTAATTTAATAAAAAATAGAAAAATGGATTTGGGCATGAAACGAGGCAGATCTATACTAGTATGGATTCATTTTTGCCCTATTGAGGGGAATAAACCTATTATTAAACGTGAATTATGCTTCTTGGCGAAATACCCTATTACTAAATAGTTTTCTAGCTAAAACTTTATTTAGCTAAGCCCAAGCTTGTTGGCGAAATCAGACGAAATGAGTGAGTGCAGCTAAGCAAAAGAAGATGAAAGGCTATACGCATTTTTTGCTTTTGGCTTGAGTTCTACTTTATGCTTATCCACGTTCATGCAATTTTTTTTATAATTTTCATAATTCACCTAGGCAACTTACTTGTACACTCTCAACCGTATAGTCGAGCCATTAGTGATTCAAATCGTCATTATGCCGATAGGCAAAGGCTTTGATTTTTCTCCATGACAGAAGTATGTCATTAAAAATTTTATATGATATTCATTATTCACTTTCT